TTTCTATCCCGCAACGCATCCTTGATGTTAAGACGATACGAATCTCCCTTCAGCTTATAGTTGCAAAATATGTAAAACGAATTTATTAGGGCATATTTTCAATTCCCTATATTATTCATATGATTAATTGTGTTTACCACGCATCAAAATGAATTTTTTCCCTTCATATACCCTTTGATACCTTTATGATTAAATTTTATCAATTTAGTAAAATTTTTTTAGCCTTGGATTAGTTTGGGTCAGTTATAATATTTTTTTGAACATACGCGCGATGGCTTACATTATGTATACATATAGAGTGTCAAGTGTATCCTGTTTCTATGGCTCTTCCTCGTTTTACCGTCTATTTTAAACAGATAGAACGTCTTCCAATCACTAAAATTAATTGATTTTTTAGTCCTATTCAGGTACAAGTTGTAGCAGACGTTCATGAACAACATGCACAAGAGCAGTCACAAAAACATGCTATAATGCGAAAAGTATTAAGTAATGCTGAACGCCAAAAACGATTTCGTGCTAAAAAAGGAGCATTAACACAAAGATCAACACAAAGTAGCTTTTATCAACCACGAACTAGTGCTGAACGTCAAAGATTATACAAAACAAATAAGAAATTACGACAAAAAAATACAGAAACTCAAGACGAAGAGTTTACACAAACCCAAGAAGAGCAATATGTACAATATCTCGTTAAAGAATGTTAAATGTTGCAAAAAATTAATTTAAATTTTACATATTCCTGATCCATTTATAAATTATTAGAGTAACAAGAATATTAAAATTATAAAATAAAATGCCATTTTATTGCCATCATGCGTTAAACAAGTTCAATATTTTATGGTTGCTATTAATTTATGAAGTTATCACTTCTGTCGAGAAGTTTTCTTCGTCCCGTGACGCACACCATTTTTTTTTATGGTACAGAAGGCTTTTTGAAATCGTCTGTGGCTGCGATATTCTAAACAAAATAAACACCCGACTACATAAATAGCTTGCAAAACCTGCATAAGTCTACATGTAATTTATTTGATTGCAGGTTACTCAGCAGCAGCGCTTCTGGCCATTTTATTTGCCCTACCATTCGCCTGGAGAGTTCTGATCCATAGGGAGCATGGACATTGGGAAAACCCCATACCTGCATTCTACTTTGCGTATTTGGAATTGTTTTTGGGTGAGCAACCAAAGTTGAAACTCTTTGAAAAAGGTTTTTGCAAACTATTTTCAGGCAATGGATGTCTTGGTATTGGCGTAATGATGCTGCTGGCCCTCACTTTGGAACGTTATGTTAGTGTGTGTCATCCAGGTCACGCTCGTCCCATCTTAGGATCCCCGATTCGAGCGGTCAC